ACCATGTGAATTTTCACATATGCCCTTTAATTTCGGAGATACATCTCCGGACGCACTCAACACACATTCAACAACGTTCATTCTAAGCTACATCATTTCTTTTAGTTTAATTTATTTTGAAGATGCATCTCTAGAATCATTTTGTAGTTACATCTCTGGATTCACACCAGAAACAGATTCAATAGATCCAAACAAAATTGACATTCATAACACAAAATGATCATTACAATGATATTTTCAACAGAAAATTCAATATTACATTTCAATATCCCAACGAACGCTTTCACATCTTCAGAATATCTTTGACCATCTTTGTAGCGTCGCTTCCAACTCGAGCATAACTATCTCTTTGAAACCGAAAAACGTATCCCACATAGCCCTAACATCCGCTTGCGTCTTGAGTTAAAACTTGGCGAATTGAATCTTCCCTCTATTGTCAATCGAAGGTGAATGATACTTGAACTTCACAATCTTTCGATTGTCTCTGTAAGGTAAGAGATGATGGATTTCATCTTTGATATCTTTGAGGGAGGTGAAGTCGATGAGCTTGAACGTTTTCCCAGGTGTAGAGTCGGAGAAAGACACATTTGCGACATACCAATAAAATTTTATTTGTGATATTTGAGACATTTTGAGTTTGTGTGAAATATAACATTAAAGCACCAAAATTTATAGAAGACAGATCAATTTGGACCACTCATTAACTGACACATTGATTCCGGAGATATATCTCCAGAAACACACCCTACTATCTTGTTCCGGAGATGCATCTCTAGAACTTCTCCTGAATCAGTATCACACCAGAACACAAAATATGAACAAAAAGTAAATATATAACATTTCATTTATATTGAGACATAATTATATACAATGATTTTTCCGGTTAAACATGAAATTAAAACGAACCTAAACGTATGTCGTCGGCTAAATCTATAGGTGGTACCCCCTTGGACTTTTGTGCATTTGATTCTTTTTCAATGTTGTATAATCTCTCAAATTCTTGCATCCTTTCCATAAAATAATTCGGTCACGTCTCGGCTTTTACGGTTGAATGACCATCCATTGCGGTGATGCAAGTGGTATGAAGCATCCTGCTTTCAAGTAAACTTGAACAAAAGGACTTGATTTTGAAAGCCATCCAATACACATGATACGATCATTTGGATTTTGGGGTGGGGCAGTGCATAGTGGAAAAAAGGTTTCCGAAAAACCGTAGCATGTCAGGTCAATACACACTCTATCATATGAACATGCTATTAGGTGACCCACATTAGGAAAACTCATCCGTTTTGCCTTCGATGTCAGACTGCTCAAGCAAGGAACAAGAGACTCAAAACCGTATTGTATTTTTTTTCGTACAACCGCGTGTACGATTTTTTATGCATCTTCAACTCTTGGATAAGTTGATGTCAGAAAAATGTATGCCTTTTTTCTCCTTTATCGAGTAAATCTGAAACGACTCGGTAACCGCAATTACTGTCCCCCACAATATTGATGATTCGCTCGATATATTTGTGCATAAAAACCGGCATCTCGTCAATGAATAGAATCTTCGGTGGAAGTGGCGTCCGAGGTGGTTTGCTAATGTGGGCTCCTTTCACTACATTTTTTTTGAGATTTTGGAGTCGGTGAGTCGGAAAAAACTTTGTCGACGTGTTCAAAATATGAAGGAGACCGTGTAGTTGAGTTATCATTCGGTGTAGGCTTCATTTTCTTCGGAGCATATTTTGTTTTTACCGATTGAGAAGGCGGTTTCATGTCAGTGGTTTTGGGATAGATAATCTTCCTGAATTGTTCTTTGATGTGAATGTTCATATTGTCATCGACCTTCGAGAATCTCTCTTGTATTACTTCCCACTCGGTCAAAATAGAGATATTCGATTTACCGTTATCCATGCATCTATCATCATCAAACCTAAGTCTCTTGCAATGAGAGAAAACCTCATCCGTTCTTATTGGTTCACCAAGTTTCACCTTTTTAGCAATAACACAAGCATATGGGGGACCATATGTTTTCAGAATAGTGCATTCACACTTTGCACTATCAGATCCTACATTATTAGCTTATTTAACCTCGTGAAAAATATAGTTCAAACCCGTCCGAGAAATGTTACCACCCAACTGAGAATACAAAATGTTGTTTTTAAATCAGTGTTCCAAAACTGTGATGCTTCGACCAAATATTGTTTGTATCTCATTATGCTGATTTTGAATCATGTGGTTCACGAAGTCTTAGTCTCTATACAAATCGCCTTTACTATTTTCCAACCATTTTTTCAAAGTAGCATGAGCCGACTCAACTCTGTTAGTAGTTGTATTTCTAAGGTATCTTACATTATCAGTCCACACACAAACTATCTTCTCCTTCACCTCGTCAAAAATTGTGCTTTCAACATATTTCACCAAATCTGGATACTTTTCACACGCTTTCCGGAAATGAATAACGGAATTGACATATAATTCTTTTGTGAAAAATTTATTATATGATTCCATGCATCCATTATTTTTTTCCACAATCAACATGCCTTCACCAAATTTCCACCTTCAGACTCTATTTGTTTCGTCCCTACCGCGGGTTTAACCTGACTTCTCACATTCTTTATTATGTGATACTTACAAAGTAATGCATAAGAAGAAGGAAATACCTTTGCAACTGAATTCATCAATGCGGTATTGCGGTCGGTAACAATCGTTTTAGGCATCTCACTAAGGACCTTCAAAAGTGATCGACACACCTCTATTGCCCAAGTAAAGTTGTCCTTCTTTTTACACTCGAGAAATGCAAAACCAACCGGATATGTCTTTTCAGTTGAGGTAATACCAACCATCTCAAATGATGGAAGTTTATACTTGTTGGTCTTGTAGGTTGAATCAAGTATCAACACCGTAGGAAACGTGTTGGACAACTTCATGGAATCAGGATGAGTTTAAAAAGTATTTCTAACGGTAACTCCATCAACGCACGTTTGATATCTGAACATGTAACTATTATCATCCAACAGCTTCAAGTGTTGTTGTGTCTCAACTTTATCCCCCCTAAGTGTCTTGTTAGTAAGTTACTGAATATTATGCACTTGCTTGATATTTGATATATTGTCGGGTCGTTTCTATTTCAGTGTTGTAAGTATATTTTTCAGTTGAACAAGATTCAATGTCATGCCACTAATACATTTATTCTCTTCCGGCTTGAGTCGATATAAACTAGGATGACCGACTAATTTTAAACACAAATCATGGTTATGCAAACCATATATCACATTAAATATCCAATTTTTGTTTGTCAACATGTAACCACAAACCGTAAACGGACACTCACATTTTCTACTACCTGTGTCGTCTCTTTTAAAATTCTGGAGAGGAGTTCGATATTTCCTACTTGTTTCGCACATCATTTTCACAAAGACGCATCTTCTATCCGAACCATTATCGGACCATCCGATAACCACACCAAATTCAAGTTTAGAGACCTTTATACGAATCCACTCAAACATTTTATCATGAAATTCAAACTCTTGCTTGTTTTTAAAGTTGTTGCCAACATTTACTGCCTTCACAACAATCCCTTGAACTTTTGGAGAAACTATTTGTTTTGTGAAAACACCGGAGTGCACCATATCTATTGAAAACAATTAAAACAATAATAGAACATTGACTCAAGTACTACTGCAAAAGTGAACACGTACAACTTCCGAAAATGCATCTCCGGACAAATTCATATATGTTCCTAAGATACATTTCTAGACACAGCGTCATTTTTTTATAAAAAAAATTTGATGATTAATGTGAGTAATGCAGAAGGAAAAGAACAATTTTTACCTGAAATTTTATCTTGTTTTGCTCCATATGATATGTTGAGCCAAAATGATGGAGATTTATGGCGAAAAATGAATTGAGAATGAATGATTTTTATGGTAAAAGTTTGGTTGAGAATCAAGTATGTCAACAATGGAGGAGTGATCATGCAGCTGAATGCTATATCAAACATTTTTGAAGACGCATCTCCAAAAATACCTAACATGAAAAGGTGACAGAAAATTTCAAAATGCCGCTCATAATTTCAAAAATGCATCTTCGAAATATCTACTGAACTAAACAATTAAAATGTTCCGAAAATACATCTCTGAAATATCTATTGAAATGAACAATTAAAATATTATCCATAAAATATTTCAAAAATATATCTCTAAAATAAAACTAAAATATTATCCTTAAAATATATCGAAAATATATCTCCGAAATAAAACTAACCTAGTGTATGAGACATAACTCAAAATACTCTTGGTTAAGTATGCAAAAAATACATTTGGAGATAAATCTCCAAAATCGGAGGACATATATAAAAATTCACAAATGCATTAGAAATATATAAGATGCAGAAAAAAATTTACCGAGAAAACTCGTAAGTTACCAATATTATTTGTTTACTATTTTAGACTTTATTCTCTTCAATTTGTAGCTTATTACAACACCTTTGATAGATTTGTAAGAAAATTTTGGCACTCTTCCACAATAATGAAGACTAAGCACTTTCCAAGTCACAATTAGGACACTATATACCTCATTTTGACCTACAAACTAGCCAAATACTCCCTCAATTAAGTAAATTTTGACTTTTAATATCCTCAATAAATAAAGTATTTAGACTATATACTAATATCACATAATTTTATAGCACGACAAATATAAAAAATGGGAACTTACATAAAGAGAGAAGAGAATAATAAAGAAGCCAATACAAATTACAAGGTAGTAGTAGCATTTAACAGTTAAGTTTAACTAAGTTTGACTGGATCTTCAATTTAGCACTTACTATTTAATATATTTACATCACGAATTATAATTTCATTGAAATAAAATTCAAAGTGAAGCAACTTGCCCTTTATTACAAGTGAAAACTGGAAAAGCCTTTTTTGTTTTGTCTGAAGCATATAAAGCTACTGGCTATTAGCAGAAGATTGAGCCAAAGACAACTTAGATTACATGATTCAGGCCTATGTATTTTACTCATCCTCACCTTCATCAATTCCAACCCACCGTGTAAATGCAAAAAGAAACTCCTTGAAGTTCACCATTCCATTTTTATCCCAGTCCATTTCTTCTGCATTTTCGCAAATAAACAAATAATAATAACTGTTAATGAATAGATATAAACTCAGGAAGAAACAATAAAGACAAGATTGCTTTTGAGTTGTTACTATATTAGAAGTAGTTGGAGTGAAGTTTAAGGAAGCGAGCAGAGTGAAGGTTCGTTGTTCCGGTTTTAAACTATGTAAATGAAAATCTTACGATTTTGATTAGGCTTTACTCAACCCTTGTATAACCGACATATAAGGTGAAAGGTAGACTCTTCAGAAACTCAATTTAGTTATTATCTCTATACAATGTGAGGCTTGTGTTTTATCCAATACATGCCTTTAACCCCCCAACACTAATGAACTTGGTGCATATATATAAATGATGAGTTGCCCGATGGATATGCTGTCATACCAAGCTAAGTTTTTTATATTGGACCTAACTCATCATGTGTGTGACTTTTAAGTCTTAAACAATCTCCCGCTCAAGAATGGACATCTGACCTAATTCATCATGTGTGTGACTTTTAAGTCTTAACACACTCTCACGCTGACATCTGACCTAACTCATCATGTGTGTGACTTTAAGTCTTGACAAACTCTGACGCTCAAGAATGGACATCCGAAGTATGGCCTGAGTAGTCTGATGACAGTGAACTGATAGAGGGTGACCCAACAAATTTTGAACCAAACTCTGATAGGGAATTAAGTTTTTTATATTAGGCTCCAATATGTATATTATAGACCTTTTAAAGGATAGTTATATGTTTCCTTTCCGGTATGAACATGGTAAGTACTAATATGGCTGGAAACAGATGAATTTAACAGATAATTTGACAACCTCTTGCAATGTGAGATTACACATGATACTCACCCTGCCATGTTCTGAGTGAATTCCTTAAATGTTGCTGCTGTGCTGCTAATGTTAAAAAACGTAACAGATGTTCTTCGTTTTTTCTTTTTTTTTTTAAATCAATTTAGAGGTACACATTTTTCTTGTGAAAACATGTTACAGCAGATTTCAAAACATTAATATATAATGCATGCTCCTAAGATGAGTACGTGTGCAACTTGAATGCATATGCAAGTGTATTTAAACATGGAGAGGAATTGACAACTGACCAAATCTTTTCATGGCTATTCTTCCAGAAGAACGTTCCCCTGACGTGGTTTCATTTATAGCTTGGACCATTTCATTTTTGCTGACATATCCGTCCTTATTCTTGTCTAAGAATACAAATGTATCAACCAACGTCTCAAATGTGGCCTCCAGATTCGGCATGCCAATTCGTGATTTCTAGATAAGTCACGGAGAACAATTTGAAATGGTAACAAAACATGGAAACTCATGACTCATAAACTATCAATGAAAACAGGAAGACAAGGATGAGATTTGTTTTCCTCCCTACTACATTGCATTACTTCAAAATTCAAAGCTTTAAACCTAACATGTTCTTCAATTTTGACAGTATTTCAATTATTTTCATTGCATGACAAAATTATAACTTCAAAATTCTACATTGCCCTAAAGAAAAGCAAGGCCATAATAGAAAAACTACATAGAGCTAATAACATTGCAAAGCTCATGAAGTCCAAACATCACCTGAAATTTAACACAAAAGGTTGGTGTTAAATGTACAATATCCCCAAATAATTCAACCAGAGGTCAAAACACACAAGACATGATATGTTTTTTTTCTTCTTCCAAAGAGTATGTGTTACTAGTTTATTTTTCAAATTTGAATTTGTAAGAATCTCTACTTATATTGTTCAAGATAATGAAATTAAAATAACAGAGATAATGTGTGTTAGGATACAGCATGAAGTGCCTTAGGGTCATCTTTGAAAAGGTAGACAAGGCAAAGAAGTACAATAAACTCATTGAACTTCATTCCCATATCATCATTAAAGTCACATGCTTTAAAAAGATCATTGATATCTTCCTCAGAAAAAGAAATTTCCAGCTTACTGAAACATTTCTTCAACTCTTCTTGATCTATTGCCCCATTAGAATCTTCATCTGTAGCAAAAAACAAATCATCTGTTAGCAACTATGATAATTATATATACGTCAATTTGTACTAATGACATTTTTGCCACTGCTAAAGCCTTTGAATGAGCTTGATAGTTGCGGTTACAATGACATAAAAATGCACTACTTAGAGTATTGAACGATCTCATCATAGTTAAAGTGGAAAACTACCAAACTGCTCAAATATGGCTCTGCATTTTCTGAAGCTCTCGTCAATTTTGGGAAATTTTAGAATTATAGTATTGAATGATCTCGTGGAACATCCATGACATTCCCTCCGTCGCACTGCTTCAACCATTTTCGCCTCAAGCTTGGTTTCTGGTACCGACTTTTTGGGTGAGTCACCCTTTCCTAATGAAGCTCCCATAGCCAATAAATCAACCAAAGTTCGCAACTCCCTCGTACCTGGCAAGCAACACATAATTTTGAAACAATTTGCTATTTACACAAAGATATGTAAAAACCTAATTGCCTAAGTTACAAATAGTTTGAACAAAAAGTTGATGCAAAAAATAAAAAAATAAAATTATAATGTTAAGATGCAACAGAAATATTTGAACGCCCTAATGATTGAGAATCTAAGGCATGAAAGATTACAACCAGGAATGAAAGAAAAGAAGCATGCAAAAGCCGTTGACCTAAGAATCAATAGAATATAACTGGAAACAGCGAAAGTAATTTGAATTAGAACTGAAAACATAAAAGTATCGAAAGCTATACGAAAATGAAATGAAGAAAAAAGAGTAGAAAGTGTACCTAGGTGTTTGGATGATGAGTGAAGATCGAAACAAGGTAGAAGTCAAAAGTGATTTTGAGGTGTGGAAGATGGTGGTGGCGTTTTGGTTTATTTGGAGAAAGATGAAAAGAAGAATGGGAAAGGAAATTGGTGTTAGTTTTGTTTAACTAACCCTATTTTGCGCTGCTCCCACCAGGTATTCTTCTCATTCTCTATCTATGCGCATCTATGTTTTTATAAAATTATATGCCTTCATTATAAGGATCTAATAGTAATAATTTTATTAATTTCTTTATAATTCGTTTAAGCTCATTTTTTTTTAATCTGCTATGAAATTTTAGATTTTGACTACGAGCAATAATAAAAGAAAGAGATAATTGGCATATGTTTCAAATAAAGAAAATAATGGTTAATTAAAAAAATTAAGAAAAAAAAATCTAGATGGAGTGGAAGATTAATATAATTTGTTGGCCGGCGGATAGCACCGGTAAGTTTTAGTGATTTTGACCCTCAAAATTATCAGAATTTTAAGAAGAAAAAAAATATGCGGTTTAATTTAGTTTGATTGATTTTTAAAAGTAAAATCAAATTAAATTAAATTATTATAGTTTGAATTGATTCAATTGATTTGATTTTTTAAAAAAAAATTATTGAATCATACATAGATATATAAATGATAACATAATTTTGTATTTAATTATTCATATATTATCATAAAATAAATTTATAGTTGTCAAAATAAATTTATAATTTAATGCATAAATATCAATTGTATAGTATAATTTTATCTTATGTCTAAAGAAAATATATGAAATTACATTTTTAAATAAATTTATTAATATTTTATATATAAAAAGATACAAAAGTGATATAAAAATGAAAATAAAAATAAAAATCTAACAATTTTATCTCAAATGAATATAATAATATTTATAAATAAATAATATTTTATTTTTTTACTACTAAGTAAATTAAAATAAATATCATATAAGAATACCATAAAATATACACATATTATCTGTTAAATTTTTAAAAAAATATAATATAATATAATATTTTGTAAGATTTTATAACATAATGCAATTTTATTATATTTAATTCGGTTTGCAAAATATAAATCACAAATCGAATCAAACTGCGTGATTTTGTTACAAAATTATTCAAATACATCCAAATCAAATACAATTTTTTGTAGTTTTCGATTTGGTTCAACTCGCTTAATAGTTATTTATTGGGTCATTTCAATTTTGAACACCTCTAGAAAATTTTATTGGACATATATGCAAGAAAATTAAAATCTAGAAAAAATGTACCACTTTTGATTTTATTTATAAAAAAAAAATAGATTTTTAGGTTCATTCAATAATTAATGCATATAGTGTATATTTTGTTCAAATATAATGTTTATACAATGAATTTAAACAAATTTTTTCTTATAAATATGATCATATTGGAATATTAATAGTAATTCATATTTATTTAGTTGTACTATTTTCTTAGCCCCTAAGTTTGTTAGAGGGTATTTTAGTATTTTATCTTTTTAGTAACCCTAGTTTTAGTTTATAAATAGGGTGACAATAATTATAACTTTTATCATGTTTTGTAGCCGTCAATTCTTAATAGAATATTTCTCTTTTTCATCATTTATTCTACCTTTGCACCAACAATTGGTATCTAGAGCTCCGGTTCAGATTCATTGGGAAACACGGGAAACACGAGTGAACGTGAGGTCTTGTGTGTTTGATTTTGATTCTTAGATTCGTGTTGAATCTTGAACAAAATCTGATCAGAATTTTATTCTGTGGGTTGGGAAACACTGTGTGAGAAATCTGAGTGTATTGTGCAAGGTGAAGATGAACGGAAACGGCAACATGAACACCAAGCTTCCAGTATTTGACGGTAAAAACTGGAATCGTTGGATGATCCAAATGCGTGTACTGTTTGGTGCTCAAGATGTTTTAGATCTTGTCACTAATGGTTATGTTCCGGTAGCAGCAGATGCAACGGATGAACAGAAAAACGCGCAGAAGGAAGTAAGGAAGAAGGATCAGAAAACATTATTCTTTATTCATCAATGTGTTGATGTAAATGTGTTTGAGAAGATTGCAGATTCAACGACAGCAAAGGCTGCGTGGGACACACTGGTTAGATGTTATGGTGGTGACACATCAGTGAAGAAGGTGAAGCTTCAGTCCTTGAGAAAGCAATATGAGAATCTCAACATGAAGAATAATGAGAAAGTTTCTGAATACATCTCCAGAGTGATTCTGATCACTAATGAGATGAAGGCGTGTGGAGAAACTCTTTCTGAAGAAACAATCATTGAGAAGGTATTGAGATCCCTTACCTCTCAATTTGATTACATTGTGGTAGCAATAGAACATTCTAAAGATCTGAGTACCATGAGAATTGAAGAGCTGCAAAGCAGTTTAGAAGCGCAAGAGTTGCGTTTGACTGAGAGAACTTCTGAAAGGGAAGTAGAGCAGCAGGCTCTGAAAGCAACTTCTGATAGGAGGTATCAGAAGCAGTCAGAAGCCAAGAGAAGATCTGATGGTGGTCAGAAGTCAGAAAGCTCAATCTCTGATAGGCAAAAAAATGCTCAGAAGGGAAAAGAGAAGTATGACAAGAAGAAGATCCAATGTTACTGTTGTAAGAAGTTTGGTCATTTTGCTAGAGATTGTTGGTCAAACAAGGAGAAGAAATCAGAAGAAGCAAATATAGCCAGAGGCTCTGATGACGAATATGTGCTGTTGATGGCCTCTGAATCTGATAATGTGGATCTGACAGACTGGTGGTATATGGACACTGACTGTTCAAATCATCTTACTGGAAACAAGAAATGGCTGGTTGACTTTGACTCTGAAAAGAGGACAAATATCAGATGTGCTGATGACAAATATCTTAATGCAGAAGGTATGGGAAATGTCAGAGTGACTCTGAACAATGGGAAAACAACATTGATTCAGAACGTGTGGTATGTACCTGGCATCAGAAGCAATCTGATGAGTGTGGGACAATTAATTGAGAAAGGTTTTTCAGTTACCATGAAGGACAATCTTCTGAAGTTGTATGACTGCAATCAGAAGTTGATTATGGAGTCAGAACAGGGAAGGAATAGAACATTCAAGGTGAATGTCAGAACTGCAGACTCAGAATGTCTTAGTGCAACATGTGCTGAGAAGGAGAGTGAGCTGTGGCACAGAAGATTTGGTCATTTGAATTTTAGAAGCCTAAAACATCTGAATTCAAAGAAGCTGGTACATGGAATTCCTGCAATTAAGAAGCCTGAGAAGTCATGCAAAGTTTGCATGGAAGGAAAACAACCACGTTTGCCATTTGCGTCAGAAGTTGCTCCAAGAGCAAAACATGCCTTGGGAGTTGTACATTCTGATGTGTGTGGTCCATTTCCAGTAGCATCAATTGGAGGGAATAAGTACTTTGTGTTGTTTGTTGATGAATTCACAAGAATGACATGGGTATCCCTTATTAAATTTAAACATGAGGTGTTTGATGAATTCAAGAAGTTCAGAATGAAGGTTGAGAATCAGAGTGGTCAGAAGTTGAAGATTCTTAGAACTGATGGTGGAGGTGAGTATAACTCCAAAGAGTTCCAGAAGTTCTGTGAGAAGAATGGAATTGAGCATGAGGTTACTGCTCCTTATACCCCTCAACACAATGGTCTTGCTGAAAGAAGAAACCGTACTTTGCTTGATATGGTGAGAAGCATGCTAAAGGAGAAGAAGCTTCCTCAGAAGCTCTGGGGAGAAGTTGTTGCCACTGCAACGTATGTACTCAACAGATGTCCTACGAAGAAGTTGAAGGAAATAGTTCCTATGCAGAAGTGGACTGGAGACAAGCAAAGTGTTAGTCATCTGAAGGTGTTTGGTTCTGTTTGCTATAAACATGTTCCAGAAGCCAGAAGACAGAAGCTGGATGATAGAAGCAAAGTGATGATTCTGATAGGGTACCACAGTACAGGTGCATACAAGCTCTATTGTCCAGAAACCAATAAAATTGAATTCAGCAGAGATGTGATTGTGAAGGAATCATAAGTTTGGAATTGGGATAAGTCTCAATCTGATTCTGATGTTAGAACTTCTGAAGAAAGGTCAAAGTTAAGAACTTCTGAAGTTGAAGTAAACTCTGAAGTTGATTCTGACTCTGATAGTGATTCTGACTCTGGAGAAGACTCAGAAGATGAAGGTGACTCTGATGATCCAGACTCTGATGGTAATCCAGATTCTGGTGGAAATTCAGACTCTGAAGATGGCCAAGACTCTGAAAATATGCCAGATCTTGAAGATGGTCAAAGCTCTAGAGGAAGTCAACCATCTGAAGCTGGAAACTCTGAAGCTCAAGACTCTGAACAAGTTCAGAGACCACAAAGAATCAGAAGCGTTCCCAGAAGATTTGCAGAATTTGACATGCTGCAAGACACTGAAGTAGACTCTGAAGAAGAAGTTATTCAGTGTGCCATGTTAGTAGACTCTGAACCCATAAGTACAGAAGAGGCTCTTAAGCAGAAGCTCTGGCTGAAGGCCATGAAAGAAGAACTTGATGCTATAGAGAGAAACAAGACTTGGAAGTTGACAAAACTTCCAAAAGACAAGAAAGCCATCAGCGTCAGATGG